ATAATGTGAGCAGTAGAACTACCCCTCTCAAAGGAAGTTTCGATCATCTTCAGCACTCCTGCTTTACAGCGAGAGCAGATCATATCGAGTAGGGAAAGCTGCTTCGTCTTGTGAAGGAGATACCCAGATGCAAAGCACAGGACAAGGTGGCGCAGATTGGGTAATATTGAGGAAGGGGCAAGGATCTCGGAAATACCATCCCAGTTCGGGCCGAGTTCGAATTTGAGGTGGGAGATCATAGAACATGCTTCTGATGAGAAGATGTTGCTGATCAAGGCCAACGGTTCTTGCGCGAACATACTCAAGCTCTCGAGACGACATCCAGATCGACGGAGGAAGGGAGCGATGCCGGACGACGACGGCGATCCCTCAGGAACTCCAACAATGGTGAGGCTTTGGAGCATCGGTGCCGTTAGGAGATCGAGGGTATCTGAATCCTCTACGTACAGTTCGCGGAGCTCCGCCATAACCATCGGCGCCGCGTCGGTCGGCAACGTCTCAGTGGACTGTAGGTGACACGTTCTAAGCTTTGGTAGCTGGGAAAGGAGTTGTAGATCTTCTAGACAACTGATATATCCGGAATAATGAGTTATCCCGGACGGTAGCTTGACTTGGTCGATCCCCTGACTTTGAAGAGTTGCTTGCCATAGCTGCGGGGCTTTCAAGCACATGTCCGAGGACATCTCCACGGGAAAGCCGAAATCATCAGAGATATCTATTTCAATTGTCTGCAGGACAGGAAAATGCGACACAGATTCCAAGTGACGCATATAATGCACGTGGATTCGAATACACACATTCTTCCACCGATAGGAAGATTGAACGAGTAAGGACATGATTTCGCTGTCTTCTGGGGTACCGGAACTGTAACAGTCGGCCACCAGAATGAGAGGGTGTTCGCCTGTGTGCTCGAGATATGCCTGCAATATCTCGGGAGCGTGCCCGGAGAAAGGTGTCTTCAACCAAACACACCGAGCCCAGGACGCTGGCGATGTATGTAGAATATCTCTCCAAAGTCCACAGACGCGACCCAAAACCCAAAGAGGTCCGGCCATGTCTAGACTATCATGTGTGCTGTCGTCCTTTTCTGCATCCTGCCACCAAGAGTCGCAAACAGAATGGAAGATTTCTAGGAGAATATCTCGGGGAAGACGACGGACAGGGGCGTATACCGACTTGCGATTTTCCAGGGATTTCATGACTGTATGAAGCTGGGCTTTATACCAAAACCCCAACCGTTCTAGCTTCGCAATTTCGTCGTTTATCGGGGCATGGTGAGATCCGAGCAATGGCCGTGACCCACGTAGAATCTGTGAAACGAGGCTGTCAGAACTCTGGGTGGCTTTGAGAGTGTCTGACTGTGACTCGGGAGAAAGGGGATTGACGAATCCGCAATTGCTGCAGGTGAGGCACGACATTGAGGTGTGGATCTTGGAAGATGGCTCAGGGAATTGTTGGAGGAAAATGTTCTTGTATACCGACTTTCTCTACAGAACGAACGAGGTCAACCTGGTAAGCCGCATTATAGATAGTCGCGTAACTCGCACCTGTCCGTGTATAAAAATGAACTTAAAGAAGCGCACGTGGCGCTTTGCTGATACTTAAATAAAACTCCGCTACCAGTCCCGGCAGTCCTGCCGAACTTGGCGGAACTTGCAGTACTGTACTATTACGACCTTCACCTAACGCCTAACGCCTAACAGCCGAACCCGAACTGAACTTATTTCATATCTTCTAACGCCTAACGAGTTGGTCTGAACTCACATCCAATCAAGTCAAAATAGGCTCAAATTAGCTCTGTAAATTAAAAATTTGGCCTGTAACTGCAATAGTGACCTCTTATTAACAGTATTCTGCTCTAAAGATTTGCTCCAAGGGAACGAAGCAACACACACGAATAAACCGCGTCAAACCCTGACGATAGGGCGCAATGGCAGTCAACGTTGACGACCTTATCTCAAGTGATGGTCGTATGGGAAATAATGTAAAGAATTCTCGTAGATTGGCGGGATAGATGGTGGTCGTCCTTCGAGCCTTGGGATTTCTATTTTGGTACATGGGCCGTGCATTACTTTCCCACGCTTGCATTGCCTTCCGAGTCATGATCCATCGATGAGCTCGGGCCCAGTTCTATCCAACAGGAAGAAAATAGATAGAAGTCGGACGCAATAATTTGTATAGCACGGTGAGTGAAGAATCCGACTTCTTCTCACACTTCATTCTGGGGATAGCTTTGATATCAACTTGATACTAGCGTGCCGGTATCTCTTCCCCTTTACCTCAAGTTCGGAGATTTCTTCTTGTGGAACGGAATCAAGACAATCAATTTTATGGGTCAATGCGGCGGTAACGAAGATGCTGTGGTGTGATACTGACCCGCCTTGGGTATTTGTGTGCCGTCTTCCAAGTCTCCCACGATGGTTGTCAATGATATATGTACAAGTTCTTTCCCTTCAGAATCCGTAAAACAGCTCCCAGATACAACATGCTGCCCGTCCCCGTACAGCAGCTGTAAGTTATGATCTTCAAACTGAGTGTTGTTACTGTGTTGTTACTGAAAAGTCTCATTTCAGGTCGGGACCGCTGGTTTGTCAAATTGTGCATTTGGTCTATTCAGTCACTAACACGGCAATTCAGATCGTCGGCTATCTCTTGAACTGGGGACTCTTCGGGACTCTTTCTGTGCAGCTATGTGCGTCGCTTATTATCTGATGATCTTGTTTCTAATACAGTCTCATTACTAGATCTATACTATCTAGCATTTCCGAAGGACAGACGATCCATAAAATCCCTCGTCTATGGAATCTACATTGTCGAGTTTGTTCAGACGGTGATAATCACCCACGACGCCTTTGCGGTATTCGGATACGGCTTCGGTAATATGGAAGCCCTCACTAGTACTGATAAAAAATTTTATTGGCTCGGTGTCCCCATCATAGGCACTATTGGTACGTCCAGCATCTTCCGTTCGGTTTGCATCAGTTAACATGAATACAGCTGCTTCTGTCGGACAGGGCTTCTATGCATACCGAATCTACATATTATCAAGGTCGGGAATTGTCCCTGCATTCGTCATCTGTGTTCGTTGCCGTGCTCTTGATCCATGGCGGTCTAGCTCATCCATTGACAGGTATCTTTGACCAGCTTCGTGGCAGCTATGGTCACAGGCGCCTACATGTTCCAAGCATCTGATATCATTCAACTCAATAACCAGAAGACGTCCATTTCCCTCAGGGTGATTAGCCAACTAGATAATCCCGTGTTCGTCGTACCGATTCACTCCTAGATTTTGTGTGCAGGCTATGCCTTGTGTGATATTGTCATCGCTATTTGCATGACTTACAATGTGAGCTCTTTCTCTCTTTTGGCTATGTTCATTGGCATTGATGGTACTATGTCGTAGCTTATGCGCCACAATACTAGTTTCCCTCAGACCCGAATTCTGATCACGAAGCTAATTCGTCTCACTATTGAGACGGGATCTCTGACAGGTATTTATCCGTATCATCCACCGCCGTCACAAGGTTAAAACAGCCTACGTTTAGCTATCGTTGCTCTTGCCGCCCTTATCTTGTTTTTTGCGTTCCCTCATCAGATTTTTTACGTGACGCCAGGCTTGGTCATATCCAAGCTATATGCCAATACCATTTACATGGTGCTGAATTCACGAATCCGAATCATAGGTGGCCGGGATATCTATACATCTTCTACCGATATGGAGATCACGACCACTATGATGAGGGATATTACTTCCCATTCAACGCAGGGTGCACAGCGAACCCCAACGGTCGTGATAAGTAAAGAGGTATTCAGCAGTGATCATGAAGTGGGTCGAATGGATGTCAGTCATGTTGATTCGCGCACTTTACTGGAGCTGATTTTCTACCAAGGAGAAACCGCAAGACAGCGATATGAGCCTCCTCGCGTAACTGTTAGAGTGGTCTTATTGTTATACACACCGATACTAATTCATTATGGCTTTGTGCTAAGGTATTCCGCTCCCTTTACACGAGAACCCCAACGAATATGCCGTCGAGAGGTACGGACAATGCCTATGGCCTGTCTTCATGAACGACGCAATCGTCTTCAAAGAAGGTACACTGCCCGACCCACGATACCTCCGTTTACATGCATGCGTGGCAGACGTACTCCAACGAAGTCGCGTGGGAAACGTCGTCGACAAGATACTCGAGTGTCTTTCCTATCGGACACGGCATCCCGAAGATCTCCAAAAAGTCTTGACCACACTCGGACTTCGGTACTCGTTAATCACAACCTTGGGGTTACCCCAGAGTGATTTCGAAGCCCTGGTCTAAATCACATTATACATCTATTTTGTATCGAGAAGGAACCTACTTCTTTATTCTAGAAAACGAGTATGAGCAGCAATGGAAATGGTATTGCTATATCTTGCACTCACCGAAAGATATAGATTGGACGTAGCTCGCCTGTAATTCGTTCTAGGTGCAGCGGCACATACCCATAAACTAGGAAATTTCTCACTTGAAAGAAATTCGGAACGCGGTAGTATAAACAACCGACAGTGATTGAGCTCTCCCTACCGCTACACTACTGATGTCCCAAGGACAGGATACCCATTAGGATCTAGACGGACGCTGGATCGTCGTGTCCAAAGTGGGGAAACTCAAACGGCGTGTGGCGAGAACTGGAGACAGCAAACGACGTCTCCGCTCGACTGCTCGTGATCCTGCAGATCTTATTTTATCCTTGCTAGGAAATATCTCGAACAGTTCCTTCTGGTCATAGAGATGGTCCAACAAATTCTTGAGTGCTACAGTTGAATCAATCTTGTTTCTTGAGTCAGTCCTCGGAAATCTTTAATCCACGACGCAGGTGGAGTCCGATTGAGTCCGAACTCTGCAGTCTGGACAGTGGACCTGCCACCATGTCGCGACTCGCCAGTGCTGACTGCTGACTGCTGACTCCTGAGTGGCCACGATTCGTCTTTGAAAGAAAAAATATATTCAATATCTCATTGCTTCGGATACGGGGAATCGAACCCCGAGCTGCCGCGAAACCCGCACTACGTTATCCAGATGAGAGGCGGCAATGTTAGCCGTTACACCATATCCGATGTCCTGAACGTGGGTAAACCCTTCTAGCAAACATTGGCTAAAGTGCTGCCGTGGCTTATTATATCAGCGCCGTGGGCCGTCACGAAGTCGAATTCGTCCGCCTCTCTATTCCGCACAGAACATTAAGGGCACCATGACAAGAGGATGGATGAAGGAAAAGAGAGCAGAGGGGGCAGAGAAGAAGGGCGGGATGACGCTGGGGAGGGAATGCGTGCGTAGAGGTATGATGCCAGCGCCAGAATCGGACACATTAAAGAATGTGAGTGCTGTATTCGATTTCGTGCGCAAGGAGGGAAGGACTATGAAACGCCCTCCGGCTACCCACTCTCGGTGAAAATGGTCATGACACACCCCGCACGAGAGGACCTGGGAAACTAGGGGCATTCTTCCTCTTCTGTGGTCGTGCATGATAACCAAAGTCGGTATTGAAATGGCGGACTGTTGGTTTGGGGCGAGGAGAAGGAACTTTGGAGTACCATGTCCACCTGGGGCTCTCGTTCGCGCGATTTTGTACGTTGTGGCCGGGGAAGACGGGGCAGAGAGAACATGGAATCCCGAGTGTAGGCAGGTGGCGATGGGAAATGGATGGAGGCATACGGGGTCGATCACATGCATAACGCTGCGCTACAATCTGGGACGTGGATGTGGATCTGACTCTTCCCCGGGTGCCCCCCCTGTCGGGGTTCCGCGATAAACTTATTCACGGGCAAACAGTGGACGAGGGTTCAGATGACCGCCTCTCCTATTCGAAAAGTGACGTTATTGCAACTGGAAAGAGAGGCTTTTTTTGAAGTTGACCGATAGGTGTGAGAAAGGCGTTGGTGTCTTTGCCTTGCGTCAGGTAGACTGTGTGCGTTAAATCAGCGTGTGTGGAGCGAAGAGACTCGAGCGTCCCACCTTGACATCTACTCTGTGCCAAGAGCGATGGATGGAGGCCGGCGTTTTTCTGCGGGGCGTTCATGCTTTTGAGGATACAGTGCAAACCAGTCCAGGGTCTTTTACTTTCGGAGCCACGCCGAGTATACACCAGCGCAGGATGCGTACCTGGTGTTTACATGACACGTCCATGCATTTCAGGGCCAAGTGCGGAGTGGACAAGTCACAAAAGAATCAACAATCCACGTTGGGCAAAAGTTTCCGAGTGTTCGCAAAAACAGTTGCACCTATGACGGGAGTGTGGGATGGAGAATCGAACTCCGAGCTTGAGAGGTAGCCGGTACACTATATCCCACCAGGTTTAGACTTGAGCTTGAGGACCTATATCTCCGATACGGCTGACATTCATCATTGGAACACGGACAACATCGTAGGAGGGGAATGAAGAGGGAAGCTTGGTCATGTGTCTGAAGGGAGTGCCGTCTTTCATAAAGGGCCTGCGCGTGAAGAAGTCAAGCATGGAAGCCGCTGTACCGGATGCGAGTGGGAAATCGAACAAAAAATGGCTCGTGATAATAAGTAGCCGAGCATGGTGGATGGATGTAGACATGGGTGATGTTACGTCCGAGAAGGGGAGCACCAAATTTGTGGAGTTGGGTCGTCGAGAACTTGGATTCGTCCGCTTTCCGAACCAAAGTCTATCCTCCTCAATTAGTCGGTACCTCCCAACAAAGGGCCTAAAGTGAAAAGACAGGGACTTCCCCAGTGAAACAGAGGGAGATGCGGGTATTCGTTTCTGGGGACAAATTCCACGACGGGTTTGGTATTGGGTGTGTGTAGGGGAGAGGAGTAGAATGGCGCGTCACATTCTGGACGTACATGGTGCGAAGGTTTAGGCGACCGCTCTCTCAGATAGAGGGTTCTGTGGTGTTCGGACGCTATTAAGAGAGAGGGAAGCTTGATATGACTCTATCGAAAGACATGGTAGGTTTTCGAGGGCAGAAGAGTTGAACATAACTGGTACAGGTAGACTGTGAACATCAAAATCAGGCAAGAGATGCACCAAACGAGACACGAGCATCGAGAAGTTGGTGTATCCCTCATAAGAGGTCCGAGTGATAAGGATGAAGCTAAGGCGGGAAAAGAGAGATATAATCCTCGCAAGGCGGTGAATGCGCACGCCTCCACCTAGATGGGCAGGTGTAATGCCAACTTCTTTATAAAGTTCAGGTGGCAGAACGAGAAGGGTACGCTCGAGAAGGGTGGAGTAAGAGTCGTGCGAGACAACCTAGTCTCAATGAGATTGTATCATGCCTAAACGAAGCTCGGGGATGATGCATATGGCGTGTGACGGTAGGGATGTCGACTCTGAGATGCAGTGGTTGACACGAAGGACAAATTCAGGGCCTGGCGGCGGAGAAATACCGGCCCTATTCCCCGCTTGCTTTTCTCCTTGATGGCCTCCGTACAGGTCTATCCTCCTCCCAGCTACCCACTAAGCCAATGACGGCGCGCTCCTCATCCGCCGGCCTATGCTTGCCCAGTGCATCTTTGGCACCAACGATATCATCGCCCAGCAGCTCATCGAGAAGAAAGGCCTCAGGCGCCACGACGTGGACGTGATCCCTCCTAACAGATACACAGTTCACTCATACTGTCCAGCTAACATTCGCGGCGCAACCTTTGTCATTATGCACGACATTCTATTCGCAGTCAAAGTTTGCTGAGGAGATGGGAGGTCGGAAAACGGTGTTACATGTCAATCTATCCGGGCGTAAGAAGGGTATGTTACTCAGACAATGCTCCTTGAATTTTGCTGACATCTAGTCGAAGACGACCTGGAAACCGCCTTTTTACATGTCAAGAAATGGTACATAAAACACCGCGACTATCAACGTTTCGCAAAATACGCATAGATGAAAGGAGAACCATATCGTTATTTGTCCCATCTCCAACCGCGACTTTGAATTGCTCCCTGAGGAAATTTATGAAACAGATCACTCTCACTTCGTGCGCACTACGGCGAGGACGATTCTACCAATAATCGTCCGATTCACTTCATCGCGCAGCTCCATGGATCTAAACGTTGACTCTTTCTCCAACCAGGATGGCAGCTCACGTCAAGGGTGGCGTGCCCGCCGAAAATCTGCGAAACGAAGCCATTTTCTATGCGACTAACATGCAAGGCAAGACTGTTCCCGTCCATGGCGGTATATGGACTGCCAGCACGACTTGGGGGAGGGGGGTGGGCTGTCGTCTGTTCTTTCATGGAGCACAACAGGTGTATTGGTGGACCATACGGCACAACCGGGAATAGATCAGTGCTCCTAGTGTGCGTCCGTATACGGCAGTCACTGAACTGAAGGCAGGAAGCATTGGCGTCGACGGTGCAGAATTTGTACTGCTCGGGGATCTACCATTGACAATTGAGTGGAGGAATGAGGACTTTTTTTGTGGGATCCGTGTCGCAGCGAACCCGTTAGTCTCGATATGAAGCACTCGAAGTTTACCCCAAATTCCCATTGACCACCCTGTGAAGAGATGGGATGCTTGGGAGCTCAAGGGAGTGGGGAAATAAACGGTGTACGGTTCTTGCAACAATGAATGCCTTTTCTCTTACCCTCAGATAAGTATTACTGCGACTTTACCGTCGCACGCCTGGCGCAGAGTGGATGTAAAGGTGCGCCGTTTGCGTCTCTTGCATGATTTGATGTTCAATCTACGTGACCAGTTACGCAAAACCCATCCGCTCTCGAAACCCTATCATGTCTTTCGATAGAGTCATGTCAAGCTTCCCTCTCTCGCAATGGCGTCATCTTTACGAATATCACAGAACCCTCTATTCCAGTCGTCTAAACCCTCGCGCCAACACGTCCATCAAGCCTACTTTGCGCCACATCTGCTTGCCCGTGAATAAGCTTGTCACACGTCTCTTCAATGGTGTCGGCCAGATTGCAGCACGTCGTCACGTAGAGAACTGCTTCTATCCATTTTGCACTTTCTCCCATCGCCCGCTCTTGCCAATGCATCTGCTCTGGGAAGACTAAGTTCACCGGAGTAGGATTTCCGTGCACGACGCTTACTCCATCTTTCCCGGCCTTTCTCATGTTCTAGTCATTCCCTGCAAACGGTTCTTCACACAGTACCAAATCGAGTTCGAGTACCACACTCCCAACTCTAGGCATCATACGTACCTCCACGTACGAATTCGAATGAGGCGCGCGCATCCCCTTCCCCCTCTGTGAAGTAGCACCCACCAAGCCCTTTCCTTCATACATGAGCTGCGGGATAGAGTGACCCTGCTACAGAAGCCTTTCTCGCAGTCGCGAATTTAGTACAAACTTCTAAGATGTGTTTGCTGAGCTATCAGGTCGTAGTGTGTCAGGTAAACTTGCCATTGTCGGATGTGGTGTAATGGCTAGCATTGCCGCCTCCCCTCAGATGTTGTGCTATTTCTTCCGCGGCGGCCCAGGGTTCGATTCTCTGTATCCGAATAACGTGTTGGGTCATGTTCTTTTTTGAATTTTTCAGAAAGTTCAAATGGGGCCTAGGGTTGTAGTTGGATTCTTGGAAAGAACTGTCTGGGATAGTTACTGGCCCCTGGGAACATGAGCACAGTCGTCGTTTCCTCTTTCCGAGTCTCTTTTTCTTGCAATGCGCGCGTTTCATTCCCTCCACCCACCTTTAATAAGTCTCCAACGGCTATCCCGTCTTTGGGACATCAGGGCTCAGCCTTTGAATGAGCGGTAGCACAAAATCACGGTTGATTCATACCACGTTCCCACATTGAACTTTTCCTAGGTGATGGTTGTGTAATTAGAGACCGACGGGGAACAAGTACACTTAGATTCAATGTATCCATATCATTTTCAAAGTAATAAGTATGGCAATGTCGAGACAGAGTGGAGAGGTCAAGGGAAGGATAGCCATTAGAAATAGAAGGGCAGCGAATCGCTGCCGCTATACAGTAGTCGCAGGCTTCATCCTCTCAGCGAGACTAGTGTCCTTTCCTAGCAATAACACGAAGTTGAAGAAGCACGTCCCTCTTAGCCGCGCACAAGGGCATCATTCTCCAAATCACCGCCTGTTCCTCCGCCATCCTGCCGGGAGACCAATCCGGGACGTGCAACACTATAACCATCCTCTTCAGAGCAGGCGCCGAGTGACACAGCAAAGCGTCAATCGGGCCCAGGTCCATCACGTCAATGCACTGGTCCGACCCCATCAGAACCTTCAGCTTGAACCTTCTCAAGCTCATTATTTGCCAACGATTGGCAGGGATGAGGAGCGTCTCCAAGCACTGACGTACGTACGATGATATAAGGATAGGATTCCCAACCATAAGACTATAACTTATTGTCAGCGCTCGCAAAGACGTATTCAATGACAAATCCAAGGGTGGGAGGAGTCCCAAATCTCGATAAATAGTAGATGGATATCAGAGGACAATGTGCGAGCCGAACATGGACAGTCAACTCACCGCAAGAAAGTAGAGGGAAATCCAACACACGCAAAGCCGGACCAGCCTTTCGCAAGATCTCTCTGAGTTGGAGCATCGTTCGCCGGGTGATATCTGAGATAACGAGCACCGCGAGTTTGTCCAGAAGGACGTGCTTGTCTAACATGATAGAAAAGAGGTAAAACTCCCCTTCTCTGCCAACAAAAACCTTTCTCTGAGCCCATTGAACGTCCGAAGTGAACATTTCTTCCATCCTCAGACCATTAATGACAGTAAGCTCTCTGGCTTTGATGGTCCCAGCCGACGTGCAACGTGTCAAAAGCCGTGCGACATCCCTGAGAGTGCGGAAGGCGGGATAACTGAGGCTGATAGACATAGCTCCGGAACGTCCTGGTACGCTACCGACAAGTCGGAGGAACCTCTCGTATGTGCCGTCATCGAGGAGGGATAGGTTGAGGCTATGAATGTCGAGATGCCCTGTCATACCCTCTGTGAAGTGGTCACAGATCGCCGGAAGGGAGAGATGCGGGCCCTGGGGACTCGTATTCGCCAGCTCCCAGAATGGCGGGCCAGATGATCCTGAGAGGGTGAGGTTCTTGAGGCGGCGAGGGATCTGTAGCATGAGGAACGGTGCGAGGTGGTTGTGGTTGTGGGATGTGACGTGGAGCGAACCGTCTTGGTAGATGCTAGAATTGAGTCCACCAGACCAGGCCCCGGACGTGTTGTGAAGTGCTCCTCGGGTGTTGTGTCGGTCAGCATGGCTGAGGTCTTGCATAATAAGCTCCGCATTAATGGATGGATCAGGTTGTCCACGAATTGTAACAGATGTCATATCTAGCAATCATAAGCTCAAGGACAAGAAACTGAATAAAAAAGAGTAAAAACCTGTGGCTGTGCTGTTGGATTGGAGAGGAAAGAAAGAGCGTTGCATGTCAGAACCCACCGCTTTTATAGCAGAGAGACTGACTGCAAACTGAGCCAAATAGCTGACGCGGCCTTGACAAAAGTTTCCTACATTCAGGAAACTCGAGCAGAAAACATAAGTTTCTGGTCGACTGAAAGTCCTCCAGAAACTTGACACCGTGACGTTTCATGCAGGAACGCACGTGATCACGTGTGAACACTGAATACCGACGTAATGCCGTGAAATCTGCTGTTATTCAGTGAAAGAGATCTGAAAATTCATAATCTGTGGAGAAACCTCACCATATAGATAAGAAACGCGAAAGTTTTGAGTAGAATGCAAAGCGAACATTGAGCTGAGTTTCAAAATGTGTCGATCATTTTCGGAATCTACTTCCGACGACCTTGTAACATTCATAATTCATTACATCTGATTCCACCCATCCTGACCTGCCTATAATTAAACTATGAGAGAGCTACAAGATATGATGAAGAACAATGTATCTTCCTCACGCCGCATAAAGCCGTTTACCAAGTAGTAAATCATGAAATGACAAGAAAATGATACTCTCACTTCGTGTCGAGCAGTTGCGCTGACAGAAGGGCAGATGACGTATGCACCGGAGTAAACAAGATTCAAACTCCGTTTGAAGATTGTTGATAAGTCCCAATATGGAAGTGGTTGGACTTGTCCTTTTACTTTCACATCGCGCTGAAGTCTCCCGACTCTTGGATTATACAAGTGGATCTCCTAGTTCTCTTCGCTCAAGGTATGTGAACTGTGGCTCCTCGAGCAGTATGGCTTACAGATGCGCTGGTAGTGCACTTCGCTGGGGATATCAGCTACTTGCGCTGTTAGGTATCGCAGGTATGTGCTCTGTCCTCTGTTGCATGGGTATCGGTCGCTGATGTGGATAGTAGGTTACGTGCTCACAGTCACTATGGTAAGCACTTTCACCTCTATCTGTGTCTCTATGCTCATGCCGTTGTAGGTCAGCGACAGGTCCATTTGTTTACAGTTGAAGTCCATTTTGAATAAGTTCTCTGGTGCGCGTATCCTTTTTTGTTGACGCCACCTTATACTAACTGCCCTCACAGATGCGCCTGAAACGCCAGTTGGTCTGGCCCTCGCTACCGTCGCGTCATTGTTGTGTAGGTTTTGGCATGCTTTGCGCCCCATCTGAATACTTACGCGTGTCCTCTTCCTAGCCACGAGTACCATGGAGCGGTAAGGGCCCTCGTTTTCTGGCAGTACAGCGGCGAGTGTGGGGACTGAGGTTGTGTCATGCAGTATTTAGGATACGTAGTCGGTGTATGTATTTACCAAGCACAATAAACAGCATTTTTGTTCATTTCTACTTTCCGTGATTTGCATGATTGCGATTAAATTCGGACAAAAATGGCACTGCTTTTCAAGTCCCGATCATCGTACCGTACAGTCAAATTCAACTCGAATTTTGCTTGAATTCTCCTTGTGAGAGTTAGCATGGTTCACGTATTTCCTATGGCCATGTACTACTAACTAGTCAAGGCGCTGCACTGGTACTACTTGACTCGAGAAGAAGAGCGGCTGCATTCCAACCTACGAGAACGAGTCCTTTTCACCAAAGTTATAAGGATCTGACCCAGTTCGTCAACTTCCAATTAAACATACAGATCGATTTCTTCGGATCCATCATGCGAGAACTACTTGGCCCGTACTCATAAATAATGATATCTTCGTCAAAGAGAGTACCCTGCCTGAGCCACGATACGTGCATGCGTACTCCAACGAAGCGGAGCTGGAGATGCGTCTGCCCTATCGGACGCGGCATCCAGAAGGTCTCCAAGGAGTCTTGACCACACATGGGCTTCGGTACTCCCTAAGCTCTCCCTTGCAGTTACTCCAAGTTAACTTCGGAGCCCTTGTCTAATCACATTGTATGATCCAGTTGAAGGGCTCATACCGAACCCGGGTTGTTACGAAAATTTTTACAACTTGAAGCAGTTCTTGGAGATAGACTATTGTTGTATCTACCACTGCAATAGAAATGCCGAAAAATATAGAGCTTGCCTGCAATTTATACTCGGTGTCGAATACCCCGGACTCGGAGTAGGTACTCGGTTTCTGACCTCCAAAGAGATTCAACTCAGACTTGTGCACTTCCCAAGTAAACTCAGCTCTACGACCCGACAGTGATGTACAAGCGGTTTAAGAACTCCAGATGTAACCCTCCAGTTTCACGAGACAAGGCTCGCACTTGGATCAGTAAACAACTGCTTGCACGCATACATTAATATCAAATTCCTGCGACCTATTCTGATAGTGGCATGAATCTATCAACACTGTCTAGTCCCCCGAGTACTAGAGATTGTCGTTTGGGCAAAATCTGTCTCATCATGTTCCAGGAAGATGGAAAGTTTACCAAGGCTCGGGCAATTCTGGGCCCGAAAATGAGTACCGATAGTCCAGATACAGCGGGCTCCACTCCTCGACCCGCATCTCCACATTGTCCCCAATGACAGCTCGGATATCTTCTTCCATAATGTGAGCGGTATAACTACCCTTCTCAAAGGAAGTTTCGATCATCTTCAGCTGTCCTGCTTTACAGCGAGAGCGGATCATATCGAGTAGGGTAAACCCTATCGACTTGTGAAAGAGATACCCAGACTCAAAGCAGAGGACAAGATGGCGCAGATTGGGTAAAATTGAGGAAGGGGCAAGGATCTCGGAAATGCCATCCCAATCCGGACCGAGTTCGAGTTTGAGGTGGGAGATCATAGAACATGCCTGTGATGAGAAGATGTTGCTGATCAAGGCTGATGGTATGTCCGCGCACATACTCAAGCTCTCGAGACGACATCCAGATCGACGAAGGAAGGGGGGGATGCCGGACGATGACGGCGATCGCTCACGAACTTCAACCATGGTGAGGCTTTGGAGCATCGGTGCCGTTAGGAGATCGAGGATATTTGAATCCTCTACGTACAGTTCGCGGAGCTCTGCCATAACCACCGGCGCCGCATCGGTCAGCGACGTCTCCCTGGACGGTATGTGACACGTTCTAAGCTTCGATAGCTGGGAAAGGAGCTGCAGATGTTCTACACAAGTGATATATCCGGAATAATGAGTTATCCCGGACGGTAGCTTGA